GATTCTCACACTCGGAACCATTGGTGCGTACGCAAATACCCACTTCCGTCGCGGCCTGGGAGCAAAAGTTCCAAGCGCTACATCACAAACTCATGAGCAACTTCGCCGCCACCATGTGGTTCATGACTCTGGACATGGCAAGTGGGGTCTGGGCGGTTCCAATGACAGCCCGAGCTCAGCTGATCTCAGCCTTCATTTGCCCGCTCGGACACTTTCAGTGGAAGCGCATGCCGTTCGGGCTGAAGAACGCCCCACAGATCTACCAACATCTTTTGGACAACTGTGTTTGGGGTTTCGTACGACTATCCCCGGACGAAGAACGACTCGTCGACACAGAGGTGTTAGAATTCTTGGGAATCTCTCCCCGAAGTCTCGGTCGCCCAGGAATCCCAGGGTACGGAGCCCTGGGGGGCGGTGGTCTCCAGGACCAGCACTGACACCGTGTTCCGCCAGAACCAGGTTGCCCCGGAACAGATGGGCCTGTGCTGTCCCGGAGTTCGTACATCGATGGCATTATCTAGGGAGCTCCGTCCTGGGATAACCTGTGCAAAACGCTGAATGCCCTCCTATACCGACTTCGGTACTGGAACATTTCGGTGAGCCTTCCAAAAGTGTGTTTGGGGTCAAGAAGTGCAAATACCTCGGGCACGACATTAGCTCGGACGGAATCCGGACGTCCCCGAAGCTAGCGGAAAAGATCCTCAACGTGCCTTTCCCAAAGACCGATAAGGGAGTACAGTCCTTCCTCGGGAGCCTCAACTACTATGCTGAGCTCATCGAAGACCTACCCGTGATCGCGGCCACTCTCTACGAAACATCGAACGAGCAACTCCGTTCTGGGCAAAATTTGGAGAAACCTAGGCATGCGTTCAAGATACTCAAGGCCCGACTAGTGTCGACACCACTACTCCAGCACCCCCACCCCGCGAGGCAGTACGTAATCGTATTGCACGCCAACCCCTGGGCCATCAGCGCGGTTCTGGGGCAAGACTACGACGGCACCATACTACCCGTGCGGTTTGTGGGACGAGTTCTCCAAGATGCTGAACTCCGGTACCACCCCGCCGAGAAGGAAGTACTAGCGCTGCTCCGAGTCTTGAACACATGCCACACCATGATTACGAGTTGTTCCGAGAAGAAAATTCGCGTGTGTACTGCTGACGTGGTTGTTCAAGTCCAAGACGATAGATGGGAGGTGCCTCAAGTGGGCGGTCAACCTGTCCCCCTGGGACCTGGATATCCGGCGAGTCGAGAACGACGAAGATGGCTTGGCGGCGATTCTGGGAGCGGGCATCATTCCCCGGAAACGCCTCGACGAGGTCGCCGAGACCCTTGTTCCGGACAAGGGTTCCTGAATCAAGACACCCCAGTCAGCCTAGAAATGCTCTCTAGCGACCACATCGAGCATCTGCCGAAAGAGATGGGTCAGGGGCGCCGCTTGCATTCTCTGGAGCCTCCCGAGTTGGGAGATTGTGGCGACCACGGGACACTTTCTTTAGAAGGTACCGTGAACGAAGCCGAATATTCCGGATTAGTCAAAGGCATGCAACGCGCTATAAACGCGATGGCCCAGGAACTGGTAGTAGTTGGAGCTACCCGTTAACAATACAGCGGCTCCAGGGGGTTATCGGTTGTATCCAACGCACCCGTTGAGGTTGCTCCAAGAAGCCGAAGGACTCCAAGCTAAGTTCAAGTCCTTGCGCCTGGCACATGTGAAGAGAGACTTCAACGCCGCCGCCGACTACATTTCCAAGCGGGCCATCCAAGAGCAGTCATCATTAGAAGTCACAGACCTCGGGGAACGGAAGTTGCTTCAAGGCCTGAACCGGATCCACGAAAAACCGATGAAGGACCCGAGTCCCCGAGAACAGTCGCTGGTGGAGTGCGCTTTCATAGCCACAGCCCGGGGCATACCTAGGTGTTCCCCGGGGGGCGAAACATTCGTGACGATGTGCTCTGTGTCGAGCAAAGCAAAGTTGCCGAAGAATCGACTCCATAATCAGGAGCTGACAACTTAGAATCCGTCAACCCCAGAGTCGGCGAGCCGGGAACCGAAGGCGCGGAAGAGGGACTGGAAGTTGGCCCCCGAAACCCCGACTCCCAGGACTCTAAAGAAGACTTTGAGGACGCTCGCAGAGAACGATGGAGGAGGATTTGTTCCCACCAGACACACGACCCAGGACTTGCACCTCTGGTGAGGTTCCTCCGAGGCGAGACAGAGCAGATGTCCCTGAGGCAGACAACGCACCTGGCCAAGATGACGGACCTGTTTGTGATGGACTTCCGGGACGCGTTGTTCAATGTGAGTCGAAACAACCAGAACACCCGCGGGACGCTGTCGATTGTCTCGACCTAGTAGTCCCCCAAGCCCTCCGATAGTATATTCTGCACCACTGTCACGCAGACCTCCAAGGCGCCCACCAGGGTATCACCCGGACCTACGAGAGATTGCGCAAAGAATTCTACTGGATTGGGATGTTCAAGGACACAGAGCGATATGTCAAAGAGTGCGTGGATTGCGTCACGGCTAAGGGGTTACTCCGGAACCCGGGCTCGTCACCCGGCAATTTGCTGGCTACGCGACCGTTTCAAGTCGTCCCGATGGACTTTATTATACCGTTGCCTCAGTCAGCCCGGGGAAACAGAGCACTACTCTTGTTCCAGTGAGCGTTCTCGGGATTCATCATGTGCAAAGCCATGGCAAGGACCGAAGCCCAAGATGTGGCCGAAGCCTACGAAGAATGCGTTTTCCGGAGGTTCGGAGCCAGAGAAATGATCCGCCACGACCGAGACCCACGATTTATGGGTCGGGTGTTCAAGCACTTCCGGAAGATGCTCGGGACAGACAACGCGCGACCCTGGCCTACCGCCCCCATGCTAACGGACAGTAGGAGAGGTCAGTGCAGACAGTGATCCGAAGTGTCAAAGCGATACGTACAGACGGTAGACCAGAGCGACTGGGATGAGCTGGCGGAAAAACTCATGTGGGCACTGAACTCTTCCTTCGACTTCACTCGACTCGATACGCCATTCTACTTAGTGCATGGCTGGGACGCCCAAGGCACTATCGAAGCCGTGATGGGAGACTTCCCCCGGGACGTCCAACTCCGAGACGCCCAGGAATGGCGCACGAAGATCCAACGCCAAGACGAGTACGCCAGGGCCTGGACCCGGGACCTCCACGTAAAGGCCAAACGACGCCGAGCCGAGGACCAAAACCGGAAATGGAAATAGCTCACGGACCGGCTCAAGGAAGGCTTCGAGGTCGGGGACTCAGTTTGGCTCTACCTAGCCCGGGCTCGCCAAGAAGCTGGCTCATTTTTGGCACGGTCCGTTCCGGATCCTGGTAAAAGGTAGCGACTACCGGTACCGCCTCCAGGTCGAGGGGACCGAATACTGATTTTACCCCTGGGTCCATGTCAGCCGGCTGAAGCCCCGAGATAAATACCCGGAGCGGCCTTCGGAGGCCATGAATATCCCGGAGGACGACACCTTCGACGCCGCGCTGCTCCGTGAAGATAGCTGGGATCCCGACGAGGGTTCCGGGGAGTACGAAGTAGAAGCAATACACGATGTGCGTTGGGCCACCCGGACCCGCACTAGCCGGCGCGTCAAAGAATTCCAAGTGAAATGGAAAGGGCACGAAGCGCCGGACTGGGTCCTCCAGGGACACTTCAAATGCGGGAGGCTCCTCTACGAGTTCGACCAAGGAGAGCGTGCCCGCGTGCGGGTTCAGGCGATACAGTCTGGAGACGAGCTCCCGACGAAAAAGTCCGGTAGAGTCCTGGGGCGTGGACCCGGAGACTACTACAGCAGTAGGCCCCGGAGTGTCCCCCAGAAGCCTCATGCTCCCGGGTGAGAATACCCCCCCAGGACATGCGCGAAGTGCATGTTCCCTGGGGCGTAGACCCGGAGCTCACTACCATTTAGCGAGCTCTGGAGAGCCCCCCCCAGAAGCCTTGTCTCCCCGGATGAGAATACTCTCTGGGGAACAAGTGATTGCATGTCTGCATGACATATACATGCTACCAATGGAAAATACAAGAAGGCTTAGAGATAACAAGACAAACGAGGCAAACGCACAGATATATTAAAGATGCATACGAAGGCTCTGGGATTGGAGAAGATCCGGGTTAGCTCGGTTCCTGGGAAATAACGACGGCCGCGGGACATAACGTACTCCTCAGGCTCGGGAACAGGAAGGCGATTGGCGTGAATAGTCACGCGGGTGCCCCAGACGGTCGGGGACACACTCTCTGCGATGCGCTCCCCCGGACAAGACCATCCCCAGTAAAGACGTGCGGGATCGCGCTGGTCCAATATGTCGAGTTGGGCACGAATGATCTTGTGTGCCTCTGGGTCCATGGGGATCCACACACACGGTTTTCGAGAGTGACGCCACAACGCAGCCTCCGTCCGGAACAGTTTGCGCTCAGGAGGAGGACGTGTGGTCACGTCCGCCTAGACATCCTTGGGGCTCTCTCATACTTCCGTTGCCGCCCGGCGCGATCCTGGTGAAGAAGAACGTGTGCATCGACATTTCGGTTCAGCACAATCCCGTGAGTACGCCCCCACTCCTCCAAGCGCTAAACCCACATCAGGCTTATTGCCATCCCGCTCGTCCCCGGAAGCGTCTTCTTCGTGTTCCGAAGGGCTGGGACTAACCCGGGGCTGGTGTGGCACTGAAGGCCATGGGTTCACGCCCTCGGCTATTCCCAGCTCCCAGTCGTCATCCTCGGCCTCAGCCAAAGCACGGTCGAAAAAACCGTCGGGCACGTGCTGGAACCAGGGTACCTCATCCAGGAAGGGCAGTATCAGCGCCCGGCGCAGGGATTCCACCAGTACATTCTTCCGGAGGCTGACGTGCACGACAATGTCTTCGGTAGTACGTCCCTGGATGGCATCCTCCGCGTCTGTCAGAGTGCAACGATCCGTGTCCATTTGCCAATACTCCAGAACGTCCGTGGGCACATCCTCGACCTTGGAACGAGTCAGAACGTGCTCGAACTCCTCCACGGACCGAACCGGGTCAGCGTCGGAATCTATGGGTCGGTAAAACCCCCCTTTCGGATCGGCCTGGGGGTCGTAGACCGTGGGTCTGACTTGGCGTAGCCCCTCCACAGACATCCGAGGGCCTGATTTGGAGACGCCTTCGATCTCGACGTCCTCGGCCTCTGGAGGGTCCTGCGTCCGGAGGTCCCCGTCCATAGGAAAGTCTTCCTCGCGTTTCTCTCCTTGAGGAGTTCTCCTCTCCTCGTCGTCACCCCCGCCCATGTCGTAGCACACGTTGAACAGATGACCAAGGATAGAAGATCCGAAGACCTCCGGATGAGGCCGTAGCAGAGAGTTCCCCTGAGAAGCAGGAGGAGGTGAAAGAGGAAGAGACTCAGGACCAGTCGGGTGGGAGGATGCATCCCCAGGACCAGCAGTCTCCTTGACCGGGTTAGGGGGCGGAACTCCCTGGCCCTTCTTTGGAGAAGCCGGCGCAGGAATGGGCTGTGTTTTTCCGGAGTCACCTGGTAAGCGATCATCTCCTCCCCGGCTCCGCCCTTCTTGTCGGAAGCTGCGCTGGAAGCATCGTCGGAGTCCTCCCCTCACTCTCGACCTTGTGGGCTGGAACGGAGGAGGTGGGGCGTTATTCCGGCTCACCATCAGGAACACTGAATACGGAGGCTGCTCTGACCGACAGTACGCCGACAGCTGTTCCCGGAATTGCGTTGTCCCAGCCATAATCCCTGGGCTACCTTGATCGTTGAAAACCGGACCAGGTTGTCTGGACTGAGCAGGTTCCGGAAGCGCTGTCTCTCTGGTGTAAGTCCTGATTTGTCACCCGGAGTTTCCTGATTCGTCGGGACAAGCGACGGACCTCCGCATCGTGTTCAGTCCGGGAAAGCGTTCCGCCGGAAGCCACCGCAGGACGAGAAGCGAGTTGGGCCTGCTCGTCCTCGAGCCGGGTCTTTGCAGGCACGAGCTCCCGAGACACCTCGGTGCGGACGGCTTGAAGAGTTTTGACTTTCCCCCGTTCCACTGCCAGCGCTTTCTCCGCGGCATCTAAGGTATCTAAGGCGTTCGAAGCGTTAGTGGCCTCGCTCCGTGCCTCCGTGAGTGCCCGTTCCACGTCCAGATATCTCGTGTCGGTCAGCTCCAGGCGCGACGACAGGGTGGCCCCATGCTGGACCTCTTCGTGAAGGATGGCCCGAGTTCGATTACAGAACCCCTGATACGAAGAGAGAGTGGTCGCTACCACCCCTCGGAGGGCAGCCTCCCACACCCGATCCCGTGCCACTCGTAGGACAACCTCACGCTCCAAGACTTGCTGGACGATAGCGTTGGCCATTTCGCTGTGTGGATCCGCGCTGGGCGCGAGATCCCGAGCCGTCTCCAGGAACCGCAACCGATCCAGAGCGAGCCGAAGTGCGTGAAGGGTATTCAATACACGATATCCAAATCGGCTAGACCCGAAGACACCCAGGAGAAAACCGGCCTGAATGTCCGAAGCCCGAGCGCGTTGTCCCCAGGCAGTAGGCGGCGAGCCTCCAGAAAGATGTTCCGGAGTGAGGATGTCGGTGGGAGTACGGTCATCAGCAGGAACCAGCTGTGAGAGCGCCTCGAGCTGTGAGCTACGGGACATGGACGCCCACGTGAATGCGTCCTCCTACGTCTCGAAAACGCAACCCCAGGGGGTTGCCAGCCGCGAGAGCCTGGATGTCCTCTGTGGCCACCGGCAGGTATCCAAACGACGGCGGAAGCTGCGCAAGACCTGGGAGCGCCTCTAGTCTGGGAGTGGCTGCACTGCCGGAGGGGAGGTTGACGGTGAGGGCGCGGAAGCCTAGGGAACCGGCCAACTCGGGACCCGTGCGCTCTGGCCGAACCACGTCAATGAAGGAACCACGGATGTCGGCCGCAAGGATTAGGATAGCGCGAGGAAAGCCTCGCGCAAAGCCCGGTCCTCGGCGATCAGGGCGGCCAGCGAAGGGATCGCGAGTGCAACCAGCGCACGAGCAAGGTCGAGACTCCCCTGCACGGTGTTCTCAGCCGAACCAGCAGGAACCCCCGCAGGCGCCTGCGTATGCGCCAGAGGTGCAGGCGCCTGCGTATGCGCCAGAGGTGCAGGCGCCCCGCCGTCGCCTGAAGATGTGGGGCCAGTCGTCATCCGCAACTTGTGAGAACCTGGTGTGCGCAGTTGCGCGCCAAATTCGAAATGGCAGACAAGATTCCCATCGAAATGCGCACCGAGAACAGGCGATATACATGCTACGCCAGAACAGTCCCCTCAAGACGATTTTCGAACGATGGCAGGCGTGATGGAGAATGACACGGAGAGTGTCCCCAGAAAGGGGAGATAATGCGATGCCATCCCCGAGAGACCTTTTCCCGGAAAGGACCAAGAAATCAGAAGGAATTTCAGCCTCGGAAGGCATGAACAAGACCACGGGAAAAGACGGCGGTTTCCGACGACTCCGGCAAGAACGATTCCCGATGCCTGTGAAGAGGCAGGTATGATGCGATCCAGACGTCTGAGCTAGCCTGACACGACGTATGGGATACCAGCATGGGGCGGTTGTGGCATAGTGCCCTCTGGTTTTCCCGAGGAGTCAGACGCTGCCCCTGGGGGAAGAGTAAGCCCGCACCTTTCCCAAGAGAGCTGGTCAAGGGCTCTCGGGTCCTTGGAGATCCGCCCCGAAGGAACTTGGCTCACATTGATTCCCCCAGAGAGCTCGTCACGGACTGTCGGGTCTTCGAGTATCTACTCCGGGGGAGGCCAGGTTCCCCGGGAACTGACACCCGCAGTTCTCGAGAATTACCCGGGAACTTGTATCGTCCCGATGAACGGCAGACGGTCGGGGAATCCGGGCGATGAATGTGGGTCAGACAGGCGATCTCCCAAACGTCCGGTCCATAGTGACCCCAAGTCTCCGCATAGTGAAAACCAGTGTTTAGCTAATCTTAGGATTAGCTCCTGTCGAAGTGTCGCCACGAATCAGCGACCTAATAATTCAGTTTCACTTTTCCCTTCTAGTGGGCAGAGCTCGTTTCTTCGGCTCTCCCGAGAATGCGAAGCGCTAACAAGTTATGGGAGAGTTCGCGGCCCGGGGGTCCGCTGCGTCTGGAGGCTAAACCCCCAAGGTAAACTTTAAAGCTCATTTGTCAGGTGTTCCACGAGGACATCGG